AAAGACAAATGGAAGTATCAAAAATAAGTCTCATCAGTAAATCTTTTTTTGATAAAAGATAAATGCTAGCCTAACAAGTAAAGTAATTGAAAAAAATCATAAAGAATAAAATTCAAAGTAGTAAACTTTTAGCGCTTGTCCTCGGTCTCCATACATACTACATTATCTTGCATTCTAGTTTAGGTGGAATTTCTTGCAAATATTGGTTTTCTATTTCTTGGGAACGATTATTATGTGTTCCCTGGAGCATTCCTCTCAATTGATCATTTAAAACAAAATTTCCGCTTTCTCCACCATTAATTCTTCCTTGCCTACATTCATAACATTTTGAATCATAATCAAAAACCCCTTGGCGATGGGCATTATCACGAGACTTACTAGGTCTTTCTTCTACTTGCTTGGAATAACTCAAACCAAAAATGCGAGAGAAAACATAATGCTCACAATTGTTATTGGCTAAACAATATCTTCTTAATCCAAAATTGTTTGCTTCATCCCAGGCAATACCTTCAGCAACTTTCTTGTAATATTTAAAAGGAATAAGGGGACGTATTTTAGCCACTTCTGGATTACCTTTACACCATCATCCTTTTATAAAATCTTCTCAATTGGTAATTCTTATTCTCATGTCGTTGGTGGATTTTTTTGAGTATGGATCAGCAAAATGACAAACTTTTTCATTGCCTAAGTAAATACCGAAATGATAATATTCATTTCCTAATGCGGTTTTTTTTACTTTTACAATATCTAAGGGCTTGAGATATTTATTTGGTTCACTTGTGGGATTTTGTATTATTTGCATTCTTCCCATACTATAGTCTAAACCATTTTCGTAGTAAGTTTTTTTTTCACAAGGCACATCTATTTTCATCACATAAGGACTGCTAATAAAAGTATCAAAAGAACGAGAGAAATCACTGTAAGGATGGATTAAAAGTATGGGGTGGTCATGATATTTATGTCATGAAGAACAATCAGATAACTCACTTATTAATCAACTGGCTTCACTTTTGGCATCAGAAAGATAATTATGATTTTTTCTCCCTCTGCTACTATCTCCTCAATAACTACAATCATAACTTTCGGGAAATACTTTTACATCATCATTTTCTTTAACATAAATTAATAAAAGTACTCAATAATAACCATTATAATTAGCAACCACAGTAGCAATATTATTATTTCACCAAGTGCTAAATCTTTCAACTTCATTAATTAATCCAGGGATTGAGGTTCTTTGTTTGACTAATTCTTTATACCTTAATCTTTGACTATCGGTATATATCAATTCGTGTTTATCACACTTTCAACATCTGATATCCCGACGATATTCTTCCTCTTTCTTATGTTTAGGATGCTCCGCTCAACTATCTTGATAGGAATTACAATTTTTACAGTATCAATTTGCCATTATTAATAATTTTAGTATTTTTGCAGAACAAAATTTGAAATTACTAATTTCTCACATTTCAATGCTATTTAGGTTTGTTAATTATTTGGAGGGCAATTGAAAGAAGATTTGTCCCCTAAACTTAAAATTATATTATGCTGAATTTACTTAAATGAATAGAAGAAAAATTAATAAATTTGGGAGGATTTTTGAAAGCTTATATATATCCTCTTGCCACTTGTTTTTTTGCTATTCTCAATTATACTAAAATGAGAGAAATTCTATTAAAAAATGATCATCCAAATTGAGCAATTTTCTGTCTCATTTTATCGGTGGTTTATATTTTATTCACCTTAGGATTTGGTATCTATTGAATAATTAATCCTCCTAGAACTTAACGAGAAATTTTATATTTTTCTCAAAGTTTTTTTTGGTCGCAGTCGGGTTTTAATAAACTTTTTATTGGCTCATAGGTTTTGCGATGTAAATCGCAGATACCATGGTGAAAAATTGCGGTTAGATGAGTATTGTTGGGGTAGCCTTTATTAGCAAATCAGTCATAAAGAGGATATTTTTTGTGTAGTTTTTGCATAATGGCATCACGGGTTACTTTGGCGATAATGGAAGCGGCCGCAATGTTAATGGACCGACGGTCGCCACCAATAATGCTTACGGTTCTAATTCCTTCTACTACTATTTTTTCTTTGCCGTCAACTAGGCATAAATTAGGCTTAGTTTTCAAATTTAAGATAGCTTCTACCATAGCTTCTTTGGTAGCTCCAAGCGGATTTTTTGCTTCTACCTCTCGAGCACTTTTGGCAACAATATTATACTCCAGCGCTTCCTTTTTAACTATCCGATAAGCTCTTTTTCTTTGACTAGGGCTAAGTATTTTGGAGTCTTGAATTAAAGGGTTTTGAAAACCAACTGGTAAGACAACAGACGCTACTATTACTGGACCAGCTAGAGCTCCACGGCCGGCTTCATCAACTCCTACAATTACTGAGTAATCTTTTCATAGCCTTAACTCCAAATCTAAACTTTTTTTTGACATTTTCACTTTCCCACTACCAAAATTTTTCTAACGATGATAATTAATTTATTTTTAATGGGTGTAGAAAACTCCCCCACTCAAACTAATTTTTCTAATTCTTCGACAACTTTGACATAATAAACGGTTAATTTGCCTTTTTTCATGAAAAAGCAATAACTAATAAAGAATAACAGTAAAAAATTAGAAAAAAATCTTACTTACTTCACCAAAAAATAACTCGATAGTTTTAAAAGACAATTACCACCGGTGCAATTTTGTCTCTTCTCACTAATAGCAAAACTAAACAAAAAAGTCCAATAGAGATATTAATTGCTTATTGAAATTAAGTCAAATATTTTTTTTGATTATTTTTAATTTAATTATTCGAACTTTCATTCTCTAAACCTTTATATGAATGTTAGTTTTCTTTTTCTTTAATTTTTTTCTATCAGAACAATAAATAAGTAGTAATATCAGAATTAAAAATGTGAGAAAAGAAACAATTAAGATAGAATAAAAATATTTATCTCAAAAAAATTCTTTCGGCTTGGCCGTTTCTACATTTATGCAGTCTAACCGCGACATGAGCGGATTAGACAATTGACCAGTATCTTGGGTAGAACTAGTAGCAATTAAAACAAACTGGGATAAGTCAATATTTGCTCCCTTAATGGATAAAGTGGCGTTTTGAGAGGGGTCAAAAATAGCCAACAATGATTTTTGGAGGGGAGATTTATTGGCAATTTTATCAATATTCTTAAATCAAATAATGGGAAAATTTCCCTGCCCGACAAGTTGCTTATTAGCGGAAGAATTAACAATTTCTTTAATTTTGTTTTCCACTAATTCTTTTTCCTTATTTTTTTCTTGGGAAAAGTCAATAATATTATCTTTTGATATTTGGTTGTTTTTGGCTAATTCTTGATTGTATTCCTTGCCAGCAAAGAAAGAGGGTCAAGAAAAAATTTCAATTTCTTTTCCTTTAGTTTTTTTTTTCTTCACTTCAATTTTACTTGCTAACGTTCTGTTTATTTGTTCCGAAATTACGTTCATAACATTTTAATTTTTGGGTTGTTTTTTGATTATAAATCTCCTGAAAATTCAACTGGCAAAGAGGACAAAATTCAGTCCCAAGAGAGCAAAAAGGAATTTGTGTTTTCAGGTGGCTTGAAATTCTTCCTGATAAGGGAAAATATTTTTTTTTACTCATTCCTGGGGATTTTCGGTAGCGGTAAACTTTTCACCCTTATTTTTGGTATAAATATATTCTTGCTCAACCTTATATAAGGCTCGTTCGGCTTGCCTTATTCCTACTTCTTTAATTCTTTGAAGTATTTTTTTGATAACTTCCTCGCTTATAATGCCACCTTTTTTTCCTGAGTATTTATCATTAATCTCTTTCGCTTTCATTTTTAAAATTTTTTCTTTCTCCTCGGAAGTGAAATCTGGTAACTCAGTTATGTCAATTTCCTTTTTTAGTTCCATGTCCAAATCATCAATATAATTTACCGTGGCAAAAAAAGTAATGTGGCTTAAATCTATCTCGGTTTGGTAGTATTTATCCGTAAATTTTTCCCCTTTCTTATAATCCTTAAAAAGTTGAATTAAATGTTTTTGAATTTCTTTATCCTCAACTTTTTCTAACTCATCCAACAAAATGACAGGATTTTTGGAACTCTGTTTTTTAATCGCCCAAGCGACTAGACTAGGTTTTTTTTCATCACCTAAAATAGAATATTCTCCGGATTCCTTGAAGCCAGCCAAAGGTATTGACTGGCAATCTCGACCCATAGCATTAGCCAAATTTTGGACAAAAGTTGTTTTTCCCATACCGGGAGCGCTGGAATAGCAAATTACTTCCCTCTTGGGTCAAAAACGCCCTTGCGTCACGGCGTAAAGTTTAAAATGACCCAAAAATGTCTTTTTTTCTTCTTCAAACCCAATATGCTTTTTTAAATCTGCATTAGCTTTTTCAATATCATTAGATACTTTTAAGTTGCTAAGTGCCGCGGTTAATTTTTCTTTTTCTTGCTGAAAATCATTCATAAGTTAATTATTTTTAGTTATTGTAATTTTAATTTATTATTTTTTTCGTTTAGCCACTGCCGCGGTCAATGAAAAGGGGCAAGGCGGCTATTGAAATCAGGCAGACAAAGAAAATTATTGTTCATAAAAACCAAGTTTTCTTTATATATTGCTTATAGGTTAGTTTAGTAGTTTTTAGAGTCATTTGGAGATTTCCATCCATGGGCGAAACTCCATCCGCCAAAAATCGACCCATAGTCATAGCCGTTAAACTGTATGCCAGAGTGTTGGCGGAAAGGCTTTTCAAAGTCGGGGCTATAATAGGAAGTATGGCTCGCATTATATTGATTGAAAAGAAACATAAAACAAAAAGGACCAAGAAAATTGCTGGTAAAGCCACAAATCTGCTTTTGAGCAAAGGGCTGAATGGATTAATCTCTAACCCCATTTTACCAATCAGTATAGGAACAGTATAGGAGAAAATGTAAATGATAATAATCGGAATCGCTTTGGTAATAGCAGCAATAAGAGTATCAATAATATTCAATTTGGCTATTAAACAAATAATTATTCCCCCAATGGTAAATCAATAACATTTCTGGGGAGTGTCTCATTCACCAAATTTTCCTCAGGAGGATTTCCTATCTTTCTTGACTTCGGCGATTTCTATCTCATTTTCTTTCGAGGAAGAGTCGGGAGAAACCTTGACAGTTCCTAAATTTTTGTGTTGCATCACTTCTTCATCACTACATATTCATTGAGGCATGTTCTCTGATACTCCTTTGGTTTTTTCAGCAAATCAAGGAATGGACCCCAACACGCTTATTAAAACAAAGAAAAAGGCGAAAAATAAAACTAACTTCCTTCTTCAATTAAAAGTGGGAATCTTTTCTGACTTAACCTCCTTGACTGGCAGGGTAGTTGGTTTTTTTTGAATTTTATTACAATATCAGATATTAAAAAAAACTAAAATTGTGGTTAAAATTACTCAGACAATTGTGCGAAATAAGACTCCTTCGGTGCCAGTAAAGTTAGTGTTTGCTTTTTCATTGACATATTGTTTAAAAAGACCTTGATAGGGTTCGCAGTTCATACTTCCAATCACTCCCACTATCGTACCACCTCAAAGACAAATCACTGAGGAAAAAATGTCAAATCCCATGGCTAGCAAGAGGGGAACCAACAAAGGATAAAAATGAAGAAATTCGTCAGCCCATCAGAAATTTGAAGCCAAAAGGGAAGCAGCAACAGTAATTATGGCAATAGTGGCAAATCTTCTTTTTTGTAATCACTTCCTTTTGGAAGCAAACAAGGCCTCAAAACTTTTGCTTTTTAAAACAGCATAAATAAGAAAAGCGAAAGCAATGATAGATAAACCATTTCCATCAAACGAAAGAGTCGTTTTAGTTGACTCCCATATAGCCGGAAAAACCTCAGTTATTCCGATTGGATTCTTGGCTATTGCTGGAAATCATGAGGCTACTATTAATGCAACAAAGACAAGTAGATAGATTAAAAAAAACATATGATAAATAAAATTATTGAGTTAAAAGTTATAAAAAAGTACGATAATAGTTGCCTATTAGTTATAAAAAGTCGGTGAAGTTAATAAAAAAGATTAATTTTGCCACTCCAAAGTGGCTTGTTTTTGTTTAAAGAATAATTTGTTTGCGGCCAAGTGGATCAGAGAATTAGAGAAAAAATATTATCCCCTCTTGTTAAAAAAGAATTAGTTATTTTTGTGATTTGGAACAATATTTCTTGACAATCCATATTTAATTTATTATTTTACAGTTGAAAACAATTCGATTAAAGTTTTGACCATTACCCCAGTTCCGCGTTTAGTTTTAGTTTTTCAGGCTGTTCCGGCAATATCGCAATGAATAAATGGTAAATTTTCGACAAATTCTTGTAAAAAGGCGGCTCCGTTAGAAGCACCCATATAGCGACTACTGCTTATGTTGCTAATATCTGCTATTGAAGTGTTTTCTTTTAAGGCTTTGGTATTTTCCGCAATTATCGGTAGTTCTCAATATCTTTCTTGCGACTTAGTGAAAGCTTGACGCAATTTTCGATAAAATTTTCGGTCATTAGTCAAGACGCCGGTCAAATTCTCCCCCAAGGCTGCCACTACTGCGCCAGTTAAGGTAGCTGCGGTAACAATTTTGTTGACTTTTTCTTTTTCGATGGCATAAGTAATTCCGTCGGCTAAGACCAAACGACCTTCGGCATCGGTATTATTAATTTCCACTGTTTTACCACTCATAGATTCTATTACCGACTCGGTAAGAGTAGCATGACCGCCAATGGCATTTTCAGTCAAGCAGGCAACCGCCACCACATTTATTTTTGGTTTTTTCTTAGTTAAGGCTAGAAAAGAAGTACAGACCGCAGCAGCTCCTGACATGTCGAATTTCATACACTGTAAATACTGTGAGGGTTTTAAATCATAACCACCACTATCAAAAGTGATACCTTTTCCCACTAATCCCAGGATATCTTTTTTGTTTTTCTTATCACCAAAATAACGCAAAATAACTACTCGCGGCTCATGATGACTACCAGCATTAACGGCTAACAATAGACCCATCTTGTTTTTTTCGATTTGCTTTTTATCCAAGATTTCTATTTCAATATCTTTTACCTTACTAAATTTGTCTTTAACTGCTTCAGCAAACTCTTTAGCATGTAGTCTATTAGGTGGTGTGTCTTGCAAGTCTCGGGCTCAATTAACTGCTTCCAATTTATTAAGGGAATCATTCAAAATTGTTTGCGCTTTCTTGTTTTTGGTTAGCAAATAATAATCGCCGCTTTTTTTTCTCTCCTCTTTTTTTTTGAACTTTGTTGGTTGATGAGTGCCAAACAATATTCCTTCCACAATAGCTTGAATTACTTCTTCTTCTCCCATTTTTTTCGAAACAAAGGATTGAATGTCAATATTTCAACCCCTTTCACTACCACTAGAGAAATTAACAAAATAATCATAAATGCTGTGAAAGCCATAACCCTCATTTTCCTTATCAACATATAAAAAACAAATTTTTTCTTCAGAAATTAAAGTAGATTTTCACTCTTTTTTTTCAATTAGAGCATGAAATTTGTCTTTATTTGTAATGGCACGGAGAGTTAGTAAATTAACTTTGGATTCTTTTTGGACGAATAGCGAAGTCATAGATTTTTATTATTAATTTATATTTTAGTAGTTGGTTAATTTAAGTGAGAAAACAATTTCATTTGGTTAAGAATTAACTTCCGCTTTGACAGTTGGTCGTTTTTTGATAGGAGGAATGATTTTTTTACTTTTTTTTGAAAATATTGTTTCTCAAACTTCTTTATATTCTTCAACCGTAATAATTTTTAGTTCGCTGCGAACTTCTTCGGGAATATCTTCAATATCCTTTTCGTTAGATTTAGGAATTATAATCGTTTTTAGTTCGCTGCGACAAGCCGCAATTGCTTTTTCTTTTAAACCACCAATTTCAAGTATTTTTCCTTTGGAAGTAATTTCTCCTGTCATCCCGATGTCAGCCGGAACTTTTTGGTTAGTCAAAGCTGAAAGAATAGCAGTAGTTAAAGCAATACCGGCACTTGGCCCTTCTTTTTCTACTGCTCCTTCCGGGGCATGAATATTAACATCCCGTTTTTCTAACAAGGCTAGTTCTTTTTTAAAATTTTCTTTATTTTCCTCTAAATAAGATTGAACATAACTAAAAGCCACCTCGACGGATTCTTTCATTACCTTCCCTAAACTACCAGTTAATCTTCCTAATTCACCCTTACCAGAAACCAAATTTACCTCAACAGGTAAAATGTCTCCTCCATAACCTGTTCAAGCCAAGCCAGTGACTACTCCCACTTGCGGTTTTTTTTGCTTGGAAGTAAACTCATAGTTTTTTTTCTTTAAATAATCTTTTAAATTATCAGAAGTAATAGCCATCTTATTTTCTTGGTTTTGTAGGAGTCGAACAATAAACTTACGAATAATTACTTGAATTTTCCTGTTTAGTTCTCGCACTCCAGCTTCGCGAGTATAATATTTTATTACGTCCCGAATAGCCTGATCTTCAAAAACTATTTCCCCTGAATTTAAATTATGCTTTTTTAAACTTTCAGGAATTAGATATTCTTTGGCAATGTGAAACTTTTCAATTTCGGTGTAGGAAGAAAGGCGAACTACTTCCATTCTGTCAAGCAAAGGTAATGGCAATTCTCTTTCATCATTAGCAGTACAAACAAACATTACTTCTGAAAGGTTATAAGGAACTTCTTCTCCTAGATAATTATCAATGAACTTTTTGTTTTGGTTCGGGTCAAGAGCCTCCAATAGTGCGTAAGCTGGATCACCACGATAATCAGAAGAAAACTTATCAATTTCGTCAATTAAAAAACAAGGATTAACCACTTGGGATTTTTTCATGGCCTGGATAATTCGGCCTGGCATTGCTCCAATATAAGTACGGCGATGACCTTGGACTTCAGCCACGTCCCGAACTCCCCCCACCGAAATGCTAATAAATTTCCGTCCAGTTGCTTCAGCAATAGAGGCAACTAGTGAAGTTTTTCCCACTCCAGGTGGTCCCACCAAACAAATAACTTGCCCCAAAGATTTATTAGCTTTTTGTTGAGCAGCTAAATACTCAATGATTTTTTCTTTTATCTCTGACAATCCATAATGCTTCTCATTTAATTTCCGACGAGCAAATTCTAAATCGTTAATTTCCTTAGTTTTTTGGTGCCATGGTAGATTTACTAATCAATCTACATATTGTTTGATAATGTTAGCTTCACTGGAATTACCTGGCATCATTTCGTACCGTTCTATCTCCTCCTGAATTACCTTTTTTACATTATCAGGATACTTTCCTTTTTCCAGCTTTTCCAAATGTTTCCTCATCTCGTTGCTGCCATAAGTTCCTTTTTTTCTCAATTTTCTTTCAATAGCCTTTAATTTCTCTCTTAAATATCATTCTTCTTGCTGATCTTTAATCGCCTCTTTTGTTTTATCTTCAACCTCCTTGTCAATCTTTTGCCGGTCTGGTATGTTGATTAAAATTTCCAGCCGTTCCTGTAAATCCATTGAGGACAATATTTTTCATTTTGTCAAGTGGTCGATTTCTCGGCTATTTTGGGCGACAAAGTCAACAAGATTACTAACATTTCCCCTCATCATAGTCATATAAGGTAATTTCTCAACCGAACTCAATTTAGATTTTTCGAGAATATCAGGGAGATGACGAACGAATTTCTCAGTTAATTCATCTAATTCCTTTTCACCTAATTCTTTTTCCGGCAAGATTTGATATTTGCCATGTCATATGTCCTCCCTCTTTTCGAGGTTAGCTATTTTTATTCTTTCTAAGCCCCGTAATTGGATTTCTTTGAGAGAATTGATAACTGGTTCCAGATCAGCTTCTGCCGAAATATCCAAATTAATTTTAGCTAAGGTTCCAATAGGTACAAATTTTTCGGAATTGTCACCGAATTTCTCCTTATTGGGAATAACAAGCAAATGACCTCGACAATCCTTCCAGGCTTGCAGAAGTACTTTTTTTCAATAAATATTATTTTCTAATGAAAGAAAATTATCACAGTTAGGGAATAAGAAAAAGTTGTCTAATAATAAAATAGGGAATTCAGTCATGATTTTAGTAAAAAATTAGTGTTTTGTTTATTATTAGTATTACAATATTATTTTTAATTAAATTATGGCGCCCATGGAGAGAATCGGACTCCCGACCTAACGCTTAGAAGGCGTTTGCTCTAATCCACTGAGCTACATGGGCCCATTAAATATTTTTAGTAAGCGATCCACATGGCTAATTTTCTTTTAGGAATTGCAGAATCTTTTTCGCGTTAGTAAAAGAATTAGTGTTAGTGGTATCGATTTGAAGGTCATAATTTCATTTTGAGCCCGCGCTAAGCCTCGAGCTCGGTCGCCACGAAGTATTTCTCTTTCTTCCAGTATCGGCAAATCACAATTTACTTTCACAAAATAAACTTGGTAATTTTTTAAAACCGAAACGTAATTTGCTAAATCTTTTTCTTCTCAACTTACTTCGTCAATAACAATATTAAAGCCATCGTCGGCTAACAATTTTACTATTTTCGGAACAGAGTTACTAACTCTTTCACCATAAGGACCAGTTTTAACTTCAGTAACGGGAAAGCCCTCTTTATTAATATTGGATAAAAAATGAAATCCTTGGCTGGCTTTTTCACCCGAACCAAAATATTTATCGGGCATGGCTTCCAAGGCAGAATCGATTCCAAAAGTTAATCAAAAATCTTCACTAAGATGTTAAATGGCTTTAACCAACGAAGTTTTTCCAGCCGAAGAACAACCATTCAAAAAAATAATTTTTGCCATTAACTAAAAATAATAGTAAAAAATTAGTGTTTTGGAATGGGTCAACCTTGCTGTCACCGATTGACCCTTATTTCCTAAAAAGTACTGGCAATGAGCTATCTTCCCCGTAAAGAGTATTTTCGCCACGGTAGTGCTTGACTTCTGTATTCGGAATGGGAACAGGTATTACCACTTCGTTATAGTCACCAGTACAATTTTATTTACTATATTTAATATTTTACTTAATAACTTTTGAATTTATTTAGTAGAAAAAAACTGATCAACAATAAAAATTACTTAATATGCTCTCTCTCTCTCTCTCTGTCTGGTTTTTTATCATCACGAGGGAGGCATAAGACAATTATTCAGCCTATTCAATTTAAGAAAAGTGCCAATAGAAGTCCTACCACACCTTTTCGGCGATAAGCCCAAACTACCATTCAAATTGAAAAAATGATATATGCTATATACATGGTCTTGCCTGCTGGACCAAGTTCTTCAAATTTTACTCAATATCCCATATTATTAATTATATATATATATATATATATTATTTTAAGTTCTCTCAAAACCGAACGCAAATTAGAAATACCAAAAATAAGTCCTCGATAAATTAGTATGGATTAACTCAATACATTACTGTACTTACATTTTCCACCTATCAACCTCCTGGTATTGAAGGTATCTTACTCCCTCACGGGATGGGAAATCTTATCTGGAAGTTAGCTTCGCACTTAGATGCTTTCAGTGCTTATCTAGACCTGACGTAGCTAGCCAGCCGTGCCCTTGACAGGACAACTGGTACACCATTGGTCAGTCCACTCTGGTCCTCTCGTACTAAGAGCAGATCTTCGCAAATTTCCTACGCCCACAACAGATAGGGACCAAACTGTCTCACGACGTTCTAAACCCAACTCACGTACCGCTTTAATGGGCGAACAGCCCAACCCTTGGAAGCTTCTTCACCTCCAGGATGCGATGAGTCGACATCGAGGTGCCAAACACTTCCGTCGATGTGATCTCTTGGGAAGTATTAGCCTGTTATCCCCGGGGTAACTTTTGTCCGTTTAGCGACGGCCCTACCACTAGGTAACCGCCGGATCACTAAGTCCTACTTTCGTATCTGTTCGACTTGTAAGTCTCACAGTTAAGCATCCTT